CAGTTTTTGTGTTTAATTAATTAACGAGCCGCCGTCTGACATTTGGCTTCGGTGATCAGCGAATTAATGAAGTGTTTGCCCGAGGAACCCCATTCCCTTACTCACTTTCTCAGCGTGGCCACAAAGCTGTAGATGTACACCATGACGGCGGTGAGGAAATAGGCTAAGGGCAGCTTATAGCCGGAAACGCTAATGCCGGAAGTGCTTGAGTAGTAGCTAAAGAGAGGTAGAGACAGGAGTAGAGTAGAGCGGAGGTTTAGTCCATAAACTTACCCATAAAACATAGGTGAATACTTGAGGAAACCCTCAAATTCCCAGAATGTAAAGAGATTTCCAGCGACTTTTTTTTCAGCGTCTGTCATGCGTTTTCGGGGATCCGTTTCGCCGTGTTTTGTGGCAAAGTACTGCGGGAGAGACACAATAAATAAAGGGGGAGAGGAACACCCAAGGGTCAACCTACCTCTGGTCCAATAACAAATGCCACCAGCGGTATGGCTATCATAATATTGACCCACATCAGCCAGCGCAGAAATGTAAAGTAGGAGGCGACGCCAGAGCCAAAATGCGATTCGATTTCCTTGATGCGCAGCTCCCAGGGTATGAGAACGGTTAGGAAGCTGGTGGTCTCCCGCTTCCAGTGTCGCCAGCGCTGCAGCAAAAGGGGGGAAAGGGAGTTCGTATTTTAATTGCATTTCAAGTGAATGCCAAGCCACATAACTCTGTGAATTATGCGACTGTTGGAGGGGATTTATTGAATGTCCTGCCAGTGCCGGAAAGTGGTCCCATAAATTGTGTAAACATAAATATTCTGCACACTGCACTGAAATTTTGCTACTGGTTTGAGGGGGAGAAGGGAAAAATCACTTACTGCCGCCATTAAAATTTTAAACCTCGCCCACAAGTCTCGGGTGCTGCGTGACATGGCGAAACGCTCCTGAAGCGCGCCCTCGTGGCGTGCCACATATGTTTTGGCCTGTCAACACATGCACAAAGGGGGGTGGTGGTGGGGGGGGTCGCCACATCCAAGTCCAAACATCATTAAAAATGCCAGGGCGAAGCCACAAGACGGGGAAGAAAGAAACGTTGAAGAAAGATAAGAAGAAGGAGGAGCAGGAGGGTTAGGGTTTGGTGTGAATGAAATCGAAAAGTTTGCTAAAGGATTTTGATGAGTGGAGTGTTCAAAAGGCCGGGAGGAGTATGAGCAGGGCGGGTCGTAACATTTTCAACGACCTGACAAGCAGCGTGAAAACGAACGCGCCCAGTTTTGTGGCCACTACTCCCACCCCTACACTGCCCACTCTTCCCACTGTCTTGGGCCTACCCACCTGCCGCACCAGCTTGAGCTTCTTGCGGATGGGCCATGGCTGTAATTTCACCGACTGTATAACCTCCTTGTGTAGGCGTATGTTCTCAAAGATTTGCTCTTGCGTGGACTCCTGATTGGTGCCCTCCTCTGTGAAGTAAAAACCAAAGCGAAATCACATTACACATACGCCAGAGTGGGCTGCGCTCGTGACGGGATTAAATGGCCGCACGTAGCCTGCTCGAAATTACAGAAAAGAGGCCCCCAGACGTTGATTAGCTGAGCCACTAGAGGCACGCTGGCGGCTGGCTCGTTAACTAAGGGAAATCTGGAGTGAGTCTTGCCTGAACTTGTCGTATAGACACTGGAGCGTCGCCGCTCCACACTATCCAGCACGTGATCCATGGGACTAGATGCTCGTCGCGAATTGCGACTGCCACGTTTTCCTCGATAGCCGCGCACACTGGCACGTCGCTGCATTATTGCCGATACGGATATTGAGTAGTCCTCGTCATCGTCAACATCGCCAGTGCCGCCATCTTCATACAGTTGTGGTGGAGGACGAGCACGAGGGGGGCACTGAACAATAAAGTGTGGTGGCTCGTGGTGGCTGCTCTCGGCGTCGCTGCTTTGATTCTGTGATTGGAAATCTGTGCGGGAATTGTATGGAGAACACAGGCTGAGAGGGAGAGAATGTGGAATGAAAGTTTTGTGCCGTACCGTTTAGCTCATACGATCTATTGTCCTCCTGCGATGCGGTTCTGTGTTTAATAATTGTGTGAGAAATGCAGGAGGCAATTTTCTCCGACTGCTACTCACCCCTTTCCGCGCTGTCCACGATAGAATTCCCGCTTCTCATCGGCGCTGCTCTGCATTTGCCAGCCACCTTTATGCAAGTCGCATGGCGGTGCCCAGGTGACAGACAATTGATGTGGCGATGTGACACCCGAGTTGTTCTGCGAATTTTTTGATTAACTTGCAAATTATTTGAATCACAATGAGTCACATTTAATACTCTCGTTAGTTAGTCACGGAGAAGGAGCTTCGAAATTGCTTAATAATTAATTTTGCACACTTTGGCATAAATTTTAAACTTTTCAAACTGCTTTGGCAAGTCTTAGTCTCAGTTTATGGGCAAAAGGAAAACTATTTAATTTGCCAGTTTTAAGTTCGTCCTTTGGCTGAAGCGCGTCGGAGGAGCCTTATGCGCAGACTGAACGGCTTAGAGCGCTGAGCAGGCCAGCAAGGCGCAAAAGACCAACATCCAAAAGGACAACGGACCTACACAAAGACACCTAAAGACACACACCCACAGAGACACACCAGCGAATGCTGAATTTTTTCTAATAATGAATGAATATGAATGAAGAACAGACAGAGAGGAGAGGAGAGGAGCCAACCTACCGACCAACCCATGGCCAACTTATCAAAGCCAAAACGTGCCCAAAACGCACACACAGCCAAACGGAACGTAAAGGAATTTACATAGACAGAGGGGCAAGCCACCAGGCAGCACATTGCGGTAGGGAAACGCTAGCAAGGATGTGGCAGCACGTACTGGACAAAGGGGCACTGGGGCACGAACCACCGGAGCTAGCTAGCTGACTTCCTCGCCCAGTTGGAACGAAGACGAATGAGTGTAAAAATCGCCAGCGGCATGTGATAACAACGCCGTGTCCGGGCGTAACCAGACCAGCACAGGACTGCTTCGAATGTCCATTTAGATGGTCCTACGAGTGCTACGACTAGTCTCTATGTGTGTGTGTGTCTATGCCTGTGTTAATATTGAGTCACGTTGTATTCTTGGCTACTGTCCGGCTACAGAGCCTCTCCTTTTGCCAGAACCCCCGAAACCCATTCCACGTTCTGTTCATGTAAATGAAAATCAAACATGCAAGGGTTGATAAAGAAAATCGCGAATTCTAACACACAAAGCACACACAAATACATCTATAAATACATATATTTGTGTACACATATTTGTATATAGGATTTTCCCGCAGTTCTTTCTGTGTGTCTTTGTGTCAGGGGAGCGCCGCCAACTATTGAAATATGTTTTGGGGCGCTGTGTTTTCTGTGTGTGTTTCCTTTTCCTTTCTCTGATTTCACTCTCGTTTTTGCGCTTTTAATTAAATGAAGTTCTTTGGCTCTGAGGCTTTAATTAACAACAAAATTTATTTGTCGACCCTGAATGCCCCGTGAAATCCGCGCACGTGTAGCCAGCCCTCCATAATGGGTTCATTACCCGCTGTGCGCGGAGACACTTTCTGTGTCTGATTCTGTGACAGGTGCAGCTGAACTTGAAAAGAGCCACACGCTGACCCAAATGCCACGCCTCGCTGCCATAGGCCTAAGTGGCTTTCTATGTTCGATTGCAGTTTTGGCCGCGAGGCGCCATAAATCTTTGGGCACTAACCAACGCCCTCGAGACTCGAGCATGTGGGTCAAGCGGTACACTAAAAATTGGAATACATTTTGCCATTTATTAAGTGGAACCGAAACTGAAAACTAATGATGACGCAACATCAGTTGATGCTGCACACGTGCGACTCGCTGGTGGATCTTATTTTCCTGCACTTGCCGCGCGGCTCCCGTTTCACGGTGCGATCCACCTTGGAGCTGCAACTGTCTGAAGTGCTGGCGGCATGCAGCCGCGTCTCCTTGGCCGATTCGGAGCTCTGATGGCTGCGGTAACGTCGACAAATGTCCGGCATGGGCATGGGCGGTACACCTACCGAGTTCTTACGATAGTTCTCGTTAACCTCAAGATTATTTTGCATAATCTCGCGGGCAAATTTGTCCTTGACCTGACGTTTGATGTGATATTTGGTCAGCTTGCCGTGGCGACAGTGCTCCGTGATCCAGTGGCGCACCTTACGACAGCCCACGTAGATGCTCTGCGATTGGTACTTCAGGTCCATGAGGAAGCCCTTCGGATTCAACCTGCCAAAGCCCAAATCGAAGACGTTCTTTGGCAGCTCAGCCGGAACGGGTCCCTCTTTGGTTTGATATTTTGCGGGTCCAACAGCGGCCAACGGCGATTGGGTCTCCTGGTGGAAGCGACGATCCTCGGCGGTGCAATATTTCCAAGGATGAAAGCTAAAAGCGCCATCCTCCAGGCACGTAAAGTACACCTTCAACTTATCGTCAAAGACCATTTCGTTGATTTCGATTAATCTGCCATCCTCGTGCGTCACCTCAAAGTTGACATTCAACGGCGCCGGCATTCGTATCGAGCCACGCCCATGGAATCGACTGTTGCGAAAATGGCCCACATAGCGTGATCCATCCGGGTACACGTAGCTGCCGTAGTCCTGCATGCCCAACTCATTTATTTGGCCAAAGTATTTGGTGCCAGTGAGAAAATTGCCACTCCGCTGGCCATCAAGGGACAAATTCACCTCGGGCCGCGAATCGCGAGATAAGAATGTATATCGCTCCATCAATTTTTATAGAAACTAATACTTTGAAATATATAAACTGTGATCTGTGAGGGGTCTGTTATTTGTGAGAGTATTAACAACAGGCATGCTCGGAGTTTGTTTTACTTCTTTTTGTGAAGTCATTAGCGGCGTCTCTTCAAAGTCGTAACAAGATAAGACATAATCACAAAACGTTGGTTAATTACACAACAAAACTCTACACAAAAGCTAACACCCGAAGCGATTATTGAATAGAAGCAAAGCCTCACGTCAACATGCAAGTTTTGGTAGTAATTCTTTTAGGCTTCACAGTGTCTGCTGCTCTGTTCAATGGTGAACGAGCGCCCCATCTCGTGTTCATGGCCTTCCACAACAACAATCAGCGGTGCAGTGGCACCATCGTTGAGGAAAACTGGATACTCACGGCACGCTCCTGCCTAACATCCAGCATGGGAGTGACCATTTACTTTGGAATGGGACCCGGCCGATACTCGATTTATGTGTGTAGCTCACAGTATGTGAAAGACAACGAACATCTCGCTCTGGTGCTCGTACCTCTGGTAGTCATAAGTCAATGGCATAAGGAAGGTGGCACTGCCAGAACAGAGGAATCAATCGACTCGTTACGAAAACCAGTGGGTCAGCAACTGCGGCTGGGGCAGCACTGAACCCACAAATGGAAATCAACCCAACAGGCTGCAGTGTGTCAACCTGCAGATCATGCCCAAAAACGAGTGTGGTCTGGACTCTATCAACGAACGCATTCTGTGCACACGTCCAGTCAGTGGAATGTCCAACTGCTTCAGCGATGTCGGCAATCCTTTGGTCACGGGAGTGTACCCCATTTTGGTGGGGCTGTCTCTGTCTGAATGTAGGCCGGGACTGCCAGCTAAGTTCGCTGGGATTAGCAGCCATTTTAACTGGATACGGCAGCACACCGGCATCTACCACTGAACTCGAGTGTAAGCCAATAAATTAAATAATATTTCTCGATCGATTTACAACTGAAAGATAGAACGCGACAATTCCATGAAGCTCGAGCGGCGAATCATGTTCGATTGCACCACATTGAAGTTGTCGGCGACCTTCTTGTTCATCATGACATTAGCCGAGTCGTAGGTCTCCTTGATGTCCAGCGGAATGGGCTCAAAGGCAAAGCTATCGGAGCGGCAGCTTGAGCCACCCACAGAGTCCACGCGCTGCACATCCGAGCTGCTGGTCCAGTGACGGGGCTTCCGCTTTGTCGATTGCAAATCCCGAAACTCTTCCAGTTCACGGCGCTGCGCCAGTCGATCGTAGGCGCGGATACACTGTGCCGTGGCTCTGGCCTTGGAGTTGGTTGTACACTTCAGTGCTGAGGTTTCCGTGCGCGGCTTGGACTTGCCCTTTTCCTTGCACAACTTGTGGTAGTAGCGCTGCCGTTCCAGCCTTTCGTTGGGCGCATAAATGTCTGTCTGGGGCAGCTGGGAGAGCTCTGTCACGAGGTTGTTGTCCATGATGCGGCGACAGAAGTAGGGCGGTGGCTCGAGGATTCGCTCCTTGCGAGCGTGTCGGCAGTAACGCAGAATCCAGTTCTTTTCCCGGGGACAACCGACGTAGATGCTGCTGGTAAAGGGCGGCGGTCGGTCCATTAGCCAGCCCGTCTTTGGATTGTAGATGCCCTCCTCCACATCGTAGCAGTCCTTGGGCACGCCTCGTGGCTTCAGGCTGTTCGTCACGTAGGCGGTGGGACCCACGGGCGGTTGGCTGTAGCGACGCTCCGCCTGGTAGCGTCGATCCTGTGGCGTCAGATAGTCCCATTCCGAGGAGTCAAATCTGTTGCCTGCGAACTGGCCCTGGACATGGAGGCCGTCGGGGAACCACATGTCCTCGATGCTCTCCAGCTTGCCGTGATCGAACACACCCTTGATGGTGAAGCGATAGGGCTGTGCCAGTCGCAAGTGGCCGAACCCATGGAACTTGCCATGATGGAACCTTCCGCGATACTCACTGCCATCCGGATAGCGATAGGTGCCGAAGCCATCCATCATGTTCACCTCCTTGTTCCAGGCTCCCTCATAGCTGCTCCGGGTGATGAAGTGCCGCAACGGCGTTGTCTCTACGCCAATGGTGGACATTGCTCTGTAAAGTCTCTCCCTCCCCTCTGACTACTGCTCTGTTCTGTTGCGCTTTTCTCTGCTTCTGCTCCTGTGTTTGTGTGATTGTGTGTCGGAATCAACTGTAGGAATTTCAAACTGACTCACACAACACACAAACACCTGACCCACTTGGCCTGGCCTGGCTTGTTGAGATTACCCATCAGCTTTATGACTAAATAAATGTTTGGCCACGACTCCGCCTGCGACTGCGACTGCGACTCGACCGGGAGGTTGGGTGTGGCCGCGTCCGCCTGCCTTTAGCTATTGTCGCATGTCTGACCTAATGAATCTTTGGGTACTCTAGCGTCTAAGAGTGGGCATAACTGGTACGTTGTGGTCTTTGTAATGAACAAGTGGAGAAGGGGATTGAATTGGACTAGATTTTGAATCCCTTTACTATTGGGGTATATTCCTTATTGCAATTAAAATTGCGACTTTAAAATACGAGAAAACTTTCACAGTAAATAGTAAATATTCGACCTTTTAATTAAATTAATAAAATTAAATAGAATTGAAGAGAAGAGAAGAGAAGTCGAAAATTGTATAAAATATTTTAAAATAAATATATTGGAAATATTTTCATTTTAATTAAATTTAATATTTTCGTGCATATATGTAAATAAATTAAATTTTCGCAAATAAATTGTAATAAAACAAAAATATTATAATTTTCAATATTAAATATGAAAAATATTTATTTTTATATTTATGTCAAATATTTGAAATATTTTTACACTCTCTGCAAAATTTAAATGGCATAAATATTGAATTAAAAGTGCAATTATTGGGGACTTTTCATTGCATCGATTAATACCAAATTAAATCCTCCTTCTAAGTGACATTTTCAACAGCATTTTATATGCATTTCTGTACAAATTTAAATGAAAGTGGGTAATTTGTAGGTTCTTCTGATAAAATGTTAATCAAATAGAGACCGTATAAGATTTTATGTATAGATGTATGTTTATGTTAGTTTAGTGCAGCTACTGGCAGTTTCTTCTCCTTGCCCAATAAAAACCTTCTAAAGAGCTAGAGCATTCCATGTTCTTTATGACTCAAGGAATTCGTTTAACACCCTGCGAATGAATAGCTTAGGTGGCACACATAAAAAATGATTTTAACCGCCACCTGGGTCGACGCTCTTGCATTGCTTGACCAGAGGCAACCACCGTTTAAGTGCGATTGGCGTTTATGGCTATTGGCATTTGCTGCCATTTCTGTTGCAGGTTGTGGATGCCACATTCCCTTTCCTCAATTTTCCCCATTTTGCCATGGTTACTGCTACTACTGCTGCTGCTGCTGCACATGTCGTTGGCCTGGCCAAATCGTAAGCACTCCCTGGCGAGCCGTAACTCATGCCCACTTACCTCACTGTTGGCGCCAGTGGCGATGTTGCTGCCACTGCCGCTGCCGCTGCTGCCCACGCAGCGGAAATCGACAGAACCACCTGATGAGCGTCGCGGCTTGCCAATGTCCAGGCGAAGGATACCAGGCTTGGGTCGCTGCCGTGGAGCTGCGGCTGGAGGACTCCGCATGGAGTCGGTCGTTGCCACGGGAACTGCTGCTCCCGTGGATGCCTGCGGCTCCAAATTCTCGCTGGTGGCCTCGTTTTGCATGACCAAACTAAACTGCTGCTAAACCGGGAAAGGCGGCGAGAGTGTACCCACAGAATGCGCGTTTCACCGCGCACACAACCGCCGTGCAGCGCCAACGCGAACAGACTATATCTGTGGCAGGGCCTCCTGGCAGCTCCTGTGTAGCGCGTGGAAGCAACAATTACGCGCGCACTGAAATAAAATGTGAATTAAACGCGCCACCCACGCGATAAGTGGCAATGGATGTGTGTATCTGGATACACATCCGTGCTGTGTGTGTGTGGCGAGGATGACGCTGGACAGGACAGGACACGCGGCACTTTCAGCCGTTTCTTGTTGCTGTCACAGTCACAGCACTCACATGGCACATACTCCTGATGGGGCAAAAAGCCAACTTCCTGCTTTCAGGGTCGCAGCAGTAGCCTACCTTTGTGTAATTATGTCTGCCGCAGCCCCAAAAAATGTCAACAGGAGCTGGTTCCCGTCACCCAAAAAAATATCGCATGTCGCGCCATTCACTATGTGAAAAATATCCATTTTTCATTTTCACTTTTCATTTTTATGTTTACGTTTTTTCATTCTATTTTTTTAGTAGCTATCTTTTGTATCTTCCATTAGAGTGGCGTTGCGACTGCCTTGCCAGCCTTCACTCTGTTTTTGTAATTTGCATACCCTGCAGGGGCAAGAGGTTGGGAATATTTTAAGGAAAATTTGGTTGGGTTTTTGGAATATTTTTGGTATCGATTAAATGGAACTTTTGATTTGAGAAAAAATAGTTTGTGTGAATATTTCAAATTCTAAGTATGAGAAAGTGATTCAGAACTACCCCACATGTTTGTACTTGTGCAAAATACAAAAGTTTCCCATTTATTCCACTCTTTTTTTGTTAAATTAAATTAATTAAATTAAATTTTGTTAAAGTTTTTTTTCATTAATTTAAATTTAAATTGAACTGAATTAATGGGTGCCTTGAAGACCTGATCTATTATTTTTATCTTCCGCTTATTGGGTATCATCCAGTCGTTGTAATGCTGGCATTTTCCCCCTCCTGTAGCTCTCTCATTTTCCTTGGAATGCGACCCACTAACAGTCCCACTACCAGTGCCAGCCAAGCCCACCTGCGGTTCGGTGCCGTGTTCGCATATCCGTGCCCTGGCCCCCGTGCTGATATGCAATGCTTTTTCTATTACATGCAAAGCGCGTTAAATTAATTGAACTGTAAAGTGTCAGCAGCAGCAGTGCCACCAGCAAGCCAGTGCCATGGATAGCGACACCCACAGCAGACGAGTAAAACTCAGCATGTTGCATTTAATTTTTATTATTTTCACTTTATTCTATCCACTAAAATATTAATTTAACTTCATGGGGTTATGGGTTTGCGTTTTATGCTAAGTGGCTTATAAAATAAACTTTACTATTTTGTCGCAAAAATGTTGTTGTTTGTGGAATGTATGTGTGTGAAGTGTGATGTGAGTGTGTGTGTGTGTTGTGTTTGTTCCTGGCCTGGATTATGCTTAGTACAAATTTCAGTTTCAGTCTCAAAAAATTGTTTTTTGCATAAATTAACTAAAACCATTTTTACGTATTTTAATGTTTTCTCTATTTCTATTTCATCTTCATCCTGGATCTAACAATTTCGTACCCAAATGGGAAAACTGTCATAAAATCGTTAGGAAAATCGTCTATTGTTAATGCCGCTGCTAAACAATAAAAGCAAAGGCAATCCAAATAATGCAATAACAACTCCCGCACGGAATTTAACGATGATTAAAGTGCTGTGCGCAAAATTTTAAGTGCATCATTTGGTTGGATGCTCAGCATTCTCACAGATACTCAAATACCCAACTAAAATATTCTACTAATCCTTTTGCTTGTATCCTTATCTACGCGTACTTCTTCCGTAACTTATCAGAGTTCAAGTACAAACCGCATTTGGCTCTACGTACCACACCCTCTTTGAAGCTAGCTAACTATCTGCGAACCCTGTTTTTTATAGCTTAAAAATTCCCATAAATTTTCGAGTGAATCGCTTATACGCCACGTATGCCGCACACGCCACAGCAGCGGTTTTGAATTTATAGAGTTGGCCCACAACTTCGGGTTGGGAATCGATTTATGCATAAAAAAATAAACGTTGATGCTGGCCAAAATTTATGAATGGCAAACATTTGATCTCTGTTGTCCTTGCTGCAGGAGCCACTCTCGTTTACCCCCCACATGTTTACTTAGCTTAATAACCAGTTTTTCTTGTAACCAAAAAGCTGGTCAAGTTAAGCAGTGTGGAAGATGAGTGCGCGTTGGCTGCTTCCCGTGTGTGTCGTACGTGGCGTATGATTAATATTCGAGGCTTGTAGCTTAATGAATTGGCCACAAGAGGACGTGTTTGTTCGTCTGTGTGTGATGTTTCTGCCAAATACTTTCTTGTAGTTAATACTTAAATACACATTGAGCTCTCGAGTCTTTCATGCTCGCTAATTGACTTAGGTCTAGTCGGTATTTAGCCTGTTGCGTGTCCTTCTCCTCCTTGGTTCATGGCATCTCGATGAGCATATCGTTCGTTTTGCTTTCGTTTGCGCAGTTAATTTGGTCATTTAGTCTATTGATTTTCGTATGAACTAAGTAGGCCAGGGCCTTATTAAACCTACCACTAGGGCTATGCTAAAAACTCACTTAACAGCTAATAAACGCACACATTACGGGAGGACGAACGCCCCTCAGAACGTTGTCACTTTGCCCAAACGCATGCCGAGCAATTTACGGCGCTTTTTGGCGCTTAACTTTGTCCAAATGGTGCTGCTGCCCTCCACCAGCAGAAACTCGTCGCATAAATCATCCGTTTCCTTAGTGGCAATGCCGCCGTAGAAATGATCCTCCTGATACTTCTCAGAGCGCGAGTCACCGGAAACGAAGCCGCTCTCCGGCCGTGACAGGGAGGCGGTATGCCATGGCAGCTGCTGGAACCATCGTGCCACTTTGGCCGTTGAGGAGAGCTACGGAAATGAGTAGAGGGGGAGGTTGGGGGATGGTGTAAAGTCAGTGTGTAAATTTATGCAAATGAGTTATGTGCGCAAATTGCTGCCCGCAGCAAATCCAACGGGAGAAGAAAAAGAGAGACCGACCGACCAGGGAAAGTGAAAAATGGCGACACTTGTTTCTTGCTGCTGGTTGTTGTTGTTTCTTGGGCATCGTTTTTTCATTCATCAAGGGGAAATTTATGCACTCCGAGTACGGAGCGTGTTTTTCGCTGTGAAAACTCATTAGGGAAATTGGCCAGCCCACCCAGCACGGCGTTAACTTTCAATTATTAACAATAATACGGAACACGTATGGGTGCCCGGAACGAACTCTGTTTAAACATAATTATGCGACTTTTATTATGATTATTTGCGTTGCTCGTGCTACTTTTGTTGCTCTTTGCTCTTGATTTTCCGAGTGCACAAATAACATTTTGTATTAATGCATAGAATACAGGCATTGCCAAATAAATATTTTCATTATTGTGGCATTTTCCAGGGCAACATTCATGGGCGTCCCCGCCTAAAGTCAATTAAATTACAACAATTTACAAAAATAACATTACACAACTAAGTATTTAGCATATACATAAATATAGTACATATATAGATTCAATAGCTTAAAGGGTAGGGGAGGGGGTCGATAGGTGACTATTTTAGGAAGAGAAAATACTTTGTAACGTTTAATTTTCCAGGTTCTTCATTTGCTGATATGCCATTGGAGGGGGTTTTAGATTATGCTGCTTCGTAAATACTTTCTTTTCTTTCTTTTCTTTCACTGACTTAACATTAGACGAGTTTCTTTTGTTTTAAGGACTTTCTTTGGCACACATTTTGAGCTCTAAACAACGATTATCGCTAATCACTAGACTACATTTGATCTGGGGCAAATACTTGAATTTGCTTGACTTACAAATGTTCTTTTGGCACACTGAAATGCAAACTAAATTTACAGTTTTCAACTAAATTAATACTGTTCAACTCACGCACTCTGGTCACACTCGCACTCACGCACACACGCTCACACACTCACATCATAGAATTTTCACGCTAAACTTCTAACATGTGGAGGGGATCCTGGGTTCATATCTCCTCACTTGGTCGTATGCCTGGCCCAGGCTGTCCGCTGCACCTGGCTCATCATCTGACTCCGGTTGGGTACCTTCTCGCTGGTGCTGCGCGTTATGAAACTGGGCGTGGCCGAGAGCTTACGCTGATGTCCCGCCTCATCCGTCACACGCAGCTGCACTGGGTTGAAGCGTGTGTCCCTCCCGTTCCCGTTGCCATTTCCATTTCCATTTCCATTGCTCTGGCTGCTGCCGGGACTAATGTTGTTGTTGCTGTTGCGCAGACGCGGCGACGACGGCGAGTCCAGTGTGGAGGAGCTGCGGCTGGTGTCCCGCGTGCTGGTGGAGCCACCGCAGGCCAGACCCGCCAGATTACCATTCGAAACGGCTGCCTTCAGCTGCTCCTCGAGGCTGTTCAGGTTCTGCTCGATGCTCAGGCGCAGATCCTCGTTGAGGGAGGAGCTGCCCGCGAAGGAGTTACGGTTCATGGTGCCCAGCGGCGAGGGAGACAAGTTTCCCGTTGCCGACGCCGGGGAAGTGAGAAAATTGAAGCCTCCTCCTGCCACATTGTTGTTGTTGTTGTTGTTGGGTGTGGCCGCGGCACAGGATAAGGGATTCGCATAGAAGAAGGAGTTGTGCGGCGAGGCCGAGGGCGTTTGCGGTGTCGGCGCTGGATTCGCATTCAGATTGAGCGCCTGCAGCCGGTTGAGCAGCTCCTGATTGACCTGAAACAGATCCTTGGACAGGGCATCCTGCTGCTGCTGTTGCTGCTGCTGCTGCAGCTGGTTGCTGATGCTCTGCAGTTGACTCATGGAGGGGTACGGACTGCTGCCACTAGCTGGCGGTGGTGGCGGCGTGGCCGGAGTCAGCTGTGGCTGCTGCTGCTGCTGCTGCGGCGTTGGTGGAGTCTGCTGCTGCTGCTGCTGTTGCAGGTTCTGTAGATGTTGGCTCTGCTGATTCAGCCCGCTCAGCTGGTGGCTGAGGGAGGTCAGCTGCTGGTTGATGTTGCCCAAATTGTTGATCTGCTGATTGATGGTCGCCAGATTGTTGTTGTTGCTGGTGGCCTGAAGCAGCAGCTGCAGCTGCGATTGCTGCGTGAGGGGTGAGGGGTGAAAGGTCACATTAAGTAGGGGTCACCTGAACTAACAACAAAAACGGGCAAC